GGGGACTAGATTTTATCAACTTAAAAAAATATAATTACCAAAGTCCCTTCATCCCTTTAGAAATTTCAAGTTTCATATTAAAAGTTCAACTACAATATTGAATCGTCAATTTTAATCTCAACATGTTAACGCATATACTTTCGACATTTGTTGTTCCACAAATTTGTAAATTCGTGAAAATATATATATTCAAAAAATCAAACAATAACCAGAAACGTAATGAAAAATCAACATCTACTCCATATTTGCGAATTAAATAGTATTCATTATTGTCCAACAATCAATTAACAAACGATTGACAACAAATTTCAATATCTTTCATATTTGCGAATTAAATAGAAGAATTTTTTTAACATTTTTCGAAACGGAGGGTCAAAACTTGACATTCCCCAAAATTTCCTCCAAAGACTATTTTATCCTCGTGTTTGAATTACTAGGCAAAATTTTTCTTGTGCAGAAATGGAAAAATAGCTTTCCACAAAAGTCACATCACATGCGACCTGTCTTAGAGTTAAAGGGCACAAGCAAAGACTGCGTCAGGGCACATTTGCTCCCTTGCCCTTAAAACCAAATCTTCAGCTGTTGAGCCCACCATGCCCAATGCCGGGGGCCATCTTGGTGGGTGGCCCACACACCTCAGGGGTGTATGGTGGCCCATCAGCTGAGGTGGCACATTTTGATTGGACGATCGCGCCGTCATGTGGTGTTACCGTCCCACCGAAGTTTCTCTCTACCCTTGAACAATGTGACCGCAAGAGGTGCTAACATCTCAAAAATTACGATTGATAAGTCAGTTTTTATCTCTTGGAGCATTTGAGTCTCCGTTCAATTTTATTTTTCTTTGAATTTTAAAATCATAATTATCAATTTAGGTGAAATTGAATCTTTCGCGGACAAAAAATTCTATTTTTTCTAGTAAGCTGCGTGACTTGCATTTGGTGTCTTTCTTAATAAAAAAATAACAAATAAAAAAAAAATTACTATGTAAAATTTATGTAATGTTAAGGATGAAATTTGCTATTTCTAAATATAGGTATTTTCGTTTATTAAATTATTTTTAATGATAAATTTGTTATTGTTTTGAAAAAAATTGTTTTTTTGTAAGTTATCGTGAAATACAGTTTTGTAGTTGTAAATTTTGAAAATACAGTGTGTAAGGTTACCTGGTACGAAGGGGTCAGGGGTGTATGTTGTAAATTTTCATTTATTTTTAAATCCACCTTTTTCCGCATTAGTAAATGGGAAAAATTCATAACTAAAATCTTAAGTATCACCAATTTTAAAATTAAGAACAAATGTTTCATATTTCAAAAATAATATATTTATTAAACTTTATTTATGATTTTTAATTATATATTTTATTAATTAAATATATTAAGATCACATATCTATACAATTTGGTTATAAATTAATGATT